CCTGGTTGGTGCCCTTAACACTGTGTATATGAGTTGTGGCCCTGTCCTCCCTGTCCCCTCCTTAAAGTGACCACCAGATGTGAGCTCTGAATGCAGGGTGCTGTGAGGTGGGGCACGTGGTGGGCTTCCTGGAGGCTTGGTTGTAGGGATGCAGAGTCCACACATAGTTGGGAGTTAATCACCCTCAGATCCTCCCAGACCAGTCAGGACTCGCCAGTCCCAGGCAGGGTCTGGGGATACTCAGTGAGCAGGACCAGAACTGGGGTTTGGTCTCACAGCCTGGCCTTTTGGAGGTGCACCTCTGGGGACCTAGACAGAGGAGATGCGGGAGGGGTCTGCCTGGAGCTGCTAGCACGAAGGCCAGAGATGTTGCTTCAAGTGTCTGGGGTAGCCTGGAGTGACCTGAACCCCCTCCCAGAGAAGGATGAGCCACTCATGGTACTGTCCCTGCACTGGGATCTCACAGGGTGAGGCAGGAACCCATGAGACCCAAATGTGGCTGGAGGATGTGTGCTGAGCTCTCCACTTCACCACATCTTTCCAGAAAGATGCTATCTGGGCCTGGGGCTGGGCAAGGGGCAGCTGACCCTGAAAATGTTTGGGCTTCAGACACCTCTCAACCTGGTGGGGAGAGGAGAGGAAAGGTTGAAGCACTGCCTCCTCCCTGGGAGGATTCCCCACAAAGTTTCATGAGACAGGCAACAGTTTCCTCTGTGAGGTGGCGATAATTAAACCCATTGTACAGATGAGGAAGCAGAGGCTCAGGGAGGAGGGACTTTCTTGAGCTACTCAGGGATCAGTGGTGGAGAGCCCAAGCCTGAGACAGAGAGAAGCCTGGGTGGCAGGCTCTGCTGTGGAAATTCTGCCTTTGGGCTTCCCTGGGACAGTCACAGGCCACTGTAGTTTCTCTGCCAACACCTGCAGCAGTCTCCCTTTACAGCTGTCCTGAGGGGGACGTCCCTCTGCTGGTCTAGCCAGGTGACCAGCATTTCCTGGTTTTCTGATCCCTGAGAGAGTAGAAGACATTGGGGAAGCAGGGATGGATATAGGCTCAAATACTGTCTGCACCATTGACCGTGTGAACTGGGAGGGCCACCAGTACCAAGACCCCACCAAAGGGTGGCAGGCCCAGGGAGAGCGAGGTCAGCTGAGATGCCTGTGCAGAGGTCCCACGGGACACAAGGCACTCGGAGGCCTGTTTCCTTCCCCTTATGATAGCTTCCTTTGTGATAAGGATCCTGTGGTAGCTACAGCCCGTTTCCTCTAGAACCTGTAGGAGGGAAATTCATAAAAAAAATCCTTCCAGACGGTTTTCTCCTGGCCCTGGTGTAAGGGGGCCAAAGAGGAGTCACACTGCCTACCCATCATGGTCCAGCCCCCACCCTCCCACAGTCCCACTGGGGCCCCTGAGTCAGTGCACCCGCTAGATGGTATCGCTGCCACTTTCCATGCGGTGCAATCTAGGAATGCCTGCCCGTGTAATGGCCTCAGCCCTGATGTCATCTTTCCAGAAGAAAGATATGTGGCTGCCCACGAACCTCAGCGCCAAACCCATAGCCGGCCTCTATCCTTTGCGTGCTAACTTTGGCGCCCGTAGGGCACACTGTGGGCGTGGACCTCTGCAATGGCTCCTGTGCTCCCTCCTGTCCTGCCTGCCCAGGGCCTTGACCACTGGCAGCCCTTTGACCAGCTATCAGGCCCCTGCTTCTTTTCCGGCCTTCAGTCAGCCCTTCTTCCTGAATGGCCCTCTGTGGCCTTAGTGACCGCTTGGACACGGACCCAGGTCTGGCCCTGCACATGCAGCCTACTAAACCTTTTCATGGGCCCATAGACCCTGCAGACCCACTCCTTTGTCCCCTGGGTCCCCAACTTAGGCACTTAGACGGTGGTTCTAACTCTTTTTATATAACTTTTTTTTTTTTCAGAGAGGAAGGGAGAGGGAGAGCGCGATAGAAACATCAGTGATGAGAGTGAATCATTGATCGCCTGCCTCCTGCACACCCCCACACACTGGGGATTGAGCCTGCAACACGGGCATGTGCCCTGACTGTGAATTGAACCGTGAGCTCCTGGTTCATAGGTGGATGCTCAACCACTGAGCCATGCCGGCTGGGCCTAACTCTTCTTACTTATATCCAGAAGCACCTTTGGGGAGGGGGGTGAGTAGATTAATCTTGCTCCTTCATCGACAGGGCTACAAAGTCCATAAAGGCAGGACTCTGTCGGTTTTCCACCATTTTGTATCCCCCTCCCTTGCTGGGAACCTAGTAGGTGTTCAGTAAATACTGAATGAATGAGTCCATTACACCACCATGTCCTATCACAATTCTACCTTCTAAATCTCTCTGGAGCCTGCTTCATCTTAACCACACCTGCTCCTAAAACCCGCTGCTTCTCTGTGCCCTAAGGACTTTCCCCCTATCCTCCCCCCCTCCCACAACCTGACTGGCCCACCTACTCTGTTTGTCCTTTCAGGGTGCGGTGGGAGGCAGCATCTCCTGGGAAGCTCTCTGGCCCTTGGACCCCTAAATTGGGAGACCTGGTTTCCTGGGGATTCCTCAGCTCTGAATTCCTGCCCCCCCCCAAGCCTGCACTACACAATGGGAGTGTCCACTGCTGTCTGTCTCCCTCACCAGATTGGGAGGTCCTCAGGGCCAGATGTGAGGACCAGTGGGAAAGTCCCATCCACCTCCCACCAGAACAGGGCCTGGTGCTGATTGGACAAATCTGTTGACTAACTATCAACTCATTTCCTGGAGAAAAGTGACCTTCCATCTCAGAGGGATTACACCAGCTCTCTGCCTCCCTGGTCACCAGCTTAGTCGCGAATTGTGGACCCCACTCCCCACCACCGAGCCTCTGGGGCTCTGTCTGACACAGACCTCCACTCTGTGGCGTCTAGTGTCCTTGATTCCCCTTGTGCCCCCTGAGAGCTCCTTGGAAAGGGCTGAGCAGAGGCCTCAGAGGAAGAAGGGCCAGGGCCTAGACATGCTACACTCCCCCCCCCCCCCCCCCGCCCTGTAGGATGTTACACCAGGCTCAGAAAGGCAGGACTGGCCTCATGGTGGCCCCCAGATCCTGGCAGGAACCCAATGGGGTCCGGAGGACGAAGGCCTGGCTTTCCCGTGCAAGGGTAGCAACCCTCCCGTCTCGTAGTTACTTTCCAGGGCCACAGTACTCAGACCATGAGTTCTACCTGCTGTCAAGGGCTGCCCATTGAGTCCCGCATGTTGCTCTGGCTTGTGTCTGACCCCATCAGTCTAGGCCAAATCAGCCCCTGGGGCCCAGAAACATCACACCCAGTGTGGGGAGCTTCTCCCATATCAGAGTGGCATGGCATGGGGGCTCACACAGATGACCGCCTATAAAATATACACCCCCCATCACCTGTATTTACAGACACATCCAACCACATGGGCACACAGACACCCAGAAATGTATACATGTGGACCCACACCCCCACGGCCATGAAACTCAGTGTGGGCAGCAAACACAAATGCATGCTGTCCTGGGTGGTGGTGGGGAGGTGAATGAAAAAGGTGAAGGGAAATAAGAGGTACAAACTTTCAGTTATAAAGTAAGTCACAGGATGTAATGTACAGCATAGGAAATACAGTCAATATCGCAATCATTTTGTGTGGTGCTAAATGGGTACTAGATTTAGTGTTACGATCCCATCATAAGGCATGTAAATGTCAAATCACTTTTGTACATCTGAAACTCATACAATATTATATGCCCACTATACTTTAATTGGAAAAAAACCCACAAAACTAACCTCGTGCTATCCTCTCCAAACTCCATTGTGAAAAGCAAACACTTGTCAGCCCCTCAAGAGCCTGTGGCTTTTCCAGAAACAGTTCCTGTTCCACGGAGAGGCCCCTGCAGCTGGAGGCCATGTAGGAAATTAAGCCTGGGAGACCTTGTTAGAGAGAACATTGTTCCCTGTACCTGGTGTGGACGCAGCCGCAACCCCACCACCAGCCCCAGAAGATCCTGGTGCCTGCGGGGACTAGGTAGGAGGGCCCTGCCCACCTCAGAGGGAGGTGAGGCTATCGGCACTGAGGGAAGAGTCACTCAACCAGGTGTGCTGGAGCCAGGATTCGTGCTCAGGGTCCCACTCCAGCTGAGAGCCCCAGCTCACCTCTGCAGCTTCGGGGTTCACCGTGGGCTGCATAAGCCAGGACTGGCTGTCAGACGGGATCTCACTGTGAAGGAACACTCCGCAGTCCCGCTGGGTTTGCCTCACCTCTGACAAGAACAGAGCAGCTGCATGGTTGTCGTTTCCTCTGCTCACAGGGTCTGTAGGGAAGAGGACCCTGGCTGAGCAGAGCTTATCAACTGCTCTGGGTCCTCGGTTGGAACTGAGGTGAGCAATTTGACTGGAATCTGCCTGGTGGAGAGTGGGGCAGTGAGTCCTCCTCACACTCAAATCTCTCACTGTGGTCATAGGAGAGGGCTCCAGGGGGGTGACGGGGAGGCTGGGATTGGAATGGACACCAGGGTGGGCACAGCCAGCCCAAATGCCTCTTGGGATAACAGGCAGGATGGGGAGCTTGGGAGTAGTAGCTAGATCCAGTGTCTCCCAGAGACTCCTCCGGCCACTCCAGGCCAGGAAGTCCAAGCTGTGCTGGGAGGCCCCTCAGATGGAGGGGGTAGGCTCAGCGGGCTGCCAGACCGCCTAGGGAGGTCTAGAGCGTGCTCAAGGAGGCTGGTGGGTGGGCTGCAAATTCTTGGAAGGGCTCATTAATGAAAACCCCTGATGGTGACCACCTGGGGGAAGGCTCACCTTTCCCACGTGAAGCTGATAAGAGCCAGGAGATTCCACAGTTCAGGTAGTTCCCCCACCTCCCTGGAGTTTTGTGGTCACCATTAATCATTTCCTCTAACTGCATATAAAAGCTCTTTTGCCAGTGAGCCCAGTATTCAGAGAGAAAGGCTAAAGTCCTCAGGAGGATGTGGCTGCAGAACCTGCTGTTCCTGGGCACTGTGGTTTGCAGTATCTCCGCCTTCTGAAACGGAGCAATGACCCTGCTGCTGTGATGGTGAGTGAGGGAACAAGGGTTGTGCCTGGGCCAAACCCCCTGGCCTGGACGAGCCCTTCCTGTCAGCTTCATAACACTGCATTTTCCTTTTCTATAGGATGAAACAGTAGAAGTCATCTCTGAAGTGTTTAACCCCCGGGTAAGATGCTCTTCTCTGGCTCACCTTCCCAGAGACCTTTGCCTTTGGGGGAGAGGGTGGCTCCATGTTAGATGGATTCTCACAAGGTGGTCCACTTCCCCTCCAGTCAGCTGGCTGCCAGGAGGAGGTGTGCTCAGAAGGCACTGGCCTTGCCTCTGTGGCAGTCACATGAGCTGCCTTATTATCTGAGCAGCCATGGACAAACCTTGCATTCAAGGGGCCAGGGGTCACCAGGGACAGGTGGGTAAGCAGGGACTGTGGGCTTAGTGCTGGCTACAGAGGGGCACAGAGGGGTCCAGGCGATGCCCTGCCCCCTTTCCCCTGAAAAGTGGGGTAGTGACCTCCTTTCCTAAGGGCTGGGACCCTCTTGAGATGCCAGGCCAAGGGAATATGCTGTGTGGGCTGAGGGTGGCCTGAGCTGAGTGGTGAGGTGGAGGCAGATTGGTGCCCGCAGTGGACAGGGGGCAGGGCAGCATATATGACTGGACCTGCCTGAGACTAGCTCGGACCTCCCAGGCTCTACTCTTAGGGGACAGGGATGAGAACACGGAGTGACGGGGAGGGCACTTGGCCACTGCTTACCAAGTCTTGGACATTTTCCATAGGAGCCGACATGCCTGCAGACCCGCCTGGAGGTGTTTACGAAGGGCCTTCGGGGCAGCCTCACCAGGCTCAAGGGCTCCTTGACCTTGATAGCCAGCCACTACAGGCAGCACTGCCCCCCTACCCTGGTAAGTGCCTGTGTCAGGGCCCCAAACGGGAAGGTCTTGGTCTAGGAGGATGGAGGACTGCGAAGGGGAGACCTTTGGGTGTGGCTGTTCGGGACACCAAAGGGAATCTGTGTTAACAGATTTGTAATTAGAGCAGCCCAGCCCTTGTTTCAGACTCAAGGAGTTCAAGTCTGGAGCTCCAGAGTCCACAGTGCCCCCTAGTGGCAGCTGCTCTGCTCTTGTCACGGTGAGGCAATCCCAAGGAAACTCAGTGTCAGGCATGGGTGGAAAAGATACAGAGGAAATTCCGGAGCCCAAGTGCCACCTCCCAACGGGACCTTCCCCTGGGCCCTGGTGGGGTTTCTGGACTGCATGGGAGCAAGGATGGAAGCATATCAGGATGTACAAAGTCCAACCATTTCTTTCTTGTGGGAACAGAGCTGTGTATTCCTGCCCTTTCTGGGTGTTGGGAGCCAGCCTCAGCCAAGCTGCTCTGTCCTGGCTTGGGACCAAAGAGCCAGTGGCCCAACTGTCCAGCAGACCAGCCTCCAGCACTCTGTCAGGTCCCTGGTCCCAACTTCGGGTGACACACATGTCACCTGGTCCAGTAAGCAGGCAGGCCCCAGACGGGCCTTCTGACCTCTGAGTCCTAAGAGACACATAAATACGCTGGTGCTCCCCCCCACATTACCCACTCACGCCTAGACTCAAGTTTTCTTTTTCTCTTTAAGGAAACTTCCTGTGCAATCCACAACACCACTTTCGAAATTTTCAAAGAGAACCTGAATGCTTTTCTACTTATCACCCCCCTTGACTGCTGGAAGCCAGTCCAGAAGTGAGTCAGGCCAGTCCAGGAGCCAGCCCTGAGAGCTTACCTTGCAGATCGCTGTCCTCCTACCCACAAAGAGCTGAAACTCAGGATCTTCACCTTGGAGGGACCACAGGATGAGCCAGGCCATGGGGCCACAGACTTGCGCTGAGTCGTGCTGACCCATATCTGGGTGGAGGATTTTTACACTGGCAGGGACTATTAATATTTATTTATATATTTATGTATTTTAATATTTATTTATTTATTTATGCTCCTACTTCATATTTATTCAAGATATTTTACCATAATAATAAATTATTAAAATTCTGTTCTTATTTGTGCAGTTTTGCAGTTTGTTTTCACCAGGAGCAAATGCTAGTGGTGCTGCCCTCCCTACAGGGTAGGGGGGAGGTTACTGGGCGGGGCGGGGGGGCAGGGACTTGGGCCTGCAGCAGGTCTAGCATTGTCTGTGGACAGCACTGTCAGAGCAGAGGGGAGGGGAGAGCGGCTTGGGTGCAGCACTCAGCACACCTGGATGTGCTTCCCAGGATGCACGAGGGCTCCCATTCCAGGGAGAGGTTTCCAGGTTCACTTAAAAATCCAAGGTACTCAGTCAGTGGGAAACTTGCCCCAGAGAAGGGGCATCCTCCTTCCTGGGCAGGCCTGGGGTTTGATTGGCTTGGCTGGGTGATGACTAGACAGACCCCCTAGCATCAGGCAAACCACCGGTGCCCCTCAGAGGCCACACCCTGCCTCATGGTCAGGACTTCACCACTCCTAAGGGAAACCAGCAGGTAGCCTAGCTGTTCTGGGGAGAAGAAACCAAACCACAGGGATCAGTGCTCAGCATATTTACCAAACTTTCCCCAAAATGGGTGATCTTCATCTTTGAGAGTCAGAATGTTGGTGCATGAAGTTTTGTATCAGGTGCTTTCTCCTAAAATTCATGGCCGTTGGGATGAGAACATAGCAGCTGTCATCTCTCCCCTTGCTTTGCCAGCAGGGCTGGAGACTTGTTCCTGCACCTGTTCCCCCAACTCCCTACTGTGGACTGTGAGAAAGTGGGTGTGTCTCAGGTGTCAGGTGGGAGCAGGGCCAGCCTTCTCCCCGACACGTGTGCCTGGGGAAGCTGGGTTGGTGCAGCTTTAGCCCCTGCTGGCTCTCTCTCCACCCCATCCACTCTCTGTGCTCTGGTCAGACCTGCAGATAGAGCCAGTCCTGGCCAAAACCCTGCCCCACACACAGGCAGAAGGGTCATGACTCAAAATGTGAGTATGAATAACATTTCTTGAACCAAACCTTCATTTCAACAAAGACAAGAATCCATGAAGTGTGCTGTGGTCATATAAAATGCACGAAAAGCACATCTTGCCTGGCGATAAGGTCCTCTCTATCTTCTACCTAAGGCGGTTATGACTGATAAGAGATTTAGCATTTCCTTAGACCCACATATATAGGTAGCCCTTCCCACAGAAATGTCACCAAGCCCAGGGCTCGGATCGGATCGGAGCTGCTCTTAAGTTACAGCATGTACCTGTTCGTGCTCCTGGCTTGTGTGCTCTGGGGCTTGGAAAGCCATTCCACCCGGATGAAGATAATCAGCGGGCCTCTCTACGACAATCACACGGCAGTCTGTGCTGAGATTCAGAAGGACCTTTTGGCTGACAACACTACATACAACGTAAGTCTGGGTCTTCATCAAACATCACTTGGCTTTCGGTGGCCCTTTTTGCTTCTGACCAACTTTCCTGCTTCCAGGGTTACTTCAAAAGGCCCCAGAACACCAGTGAGGTAAGGAGCAGCTACCACATGGACCTTTCTGACCACATTTCAAAGGCCATCACCCCAGTCAGCATCTAGGGAAGAGATAAAAAGAAAAGATGTTGGAGAGAGAAATCTGGGGAGAAAGCTGAGAGTCTGAGGATGGAGCCTCCAGCCCAGCCAACAGATGAAGCCATGGCCAGGTCCTGGGCTTTGCCGGGCTCTCTGATCACCATCCCACATCAGCCCTGGGCCTGGGGAGAGACCAGGAACCCACTGCACAGCTCACAGTGCTCAGAGGTCTCCTGTGAAAGGATCAGGGCAGGGCCTGAATTTGAGCCCAGGGCTCCTCTGGCCAGGGTGACAAGGGATGGATGATGTTGGCGGTCAATTGGTGCTGTGCACCACCATCATCCCAGTGCCCCAACCCTGTTTCAGGAGTCCTGCTATGGGGAGTTTATAAAGGACTTCATCTCCACTCTGAAGAATCTCATAAAAGGTAACAAGAATGAACACCTGCAAAAGGTTTATAAGAACATGAAATACCTTACCCAAATCTGCACAAAGCTTCAAGTAAGTTGCTGTTGGCTCTTGGGGGAACCTGACACATTATTTTCCTTGCTACAGCCAGAGGTCCAGCAGGGCAAAGGGCTTCTTATGGCCCCTGCTTGCTGCATCGGAGGCCTCGGGAACTACTTTCCAATTCAAAAGCCCACTGGCTGATGGGGACTGGGCTTGTGGGAGGGGGTACTCGGGGGTCGTTCTGGAGGTTTGTCATGCTCTCTGCCAAGCCCCCGTGTACAGGGGTCAGTGTGGAGTAGGTCTGAGACAGGTCTGGTCATGGACTCAGCCTGGGGAGAGGAAAGGGCCACGTGGTGCCAATCCCAGTCAGGCAGGGGTTGAGGAGCGGGGGTGTTGTGGGGAAATGACTGAGGTGTTCCCCTCTCTTTATCCAGTGCTTGCACAGGCCCCTGCTCATCCTTGTGTCCCTGCCCTAGGCAGCCGTGACCTGCCCACACTCCGCTGACTCTTTTCCCACGGCTCTGGGCTCCACAATCAGCAAATGGGCCCCAGTGCCCTCCCTAGGACAGATGCTAAGTTACCTCCTAGCAGATGGGGAGTTTACCATGTGACCCTTTTATTTTTTCTGCTGCGATGACTTAAATATATATTTCTTTTTTAGCCAACAGGATCATCCAAGAACTGTACTTCTGAGTACAGTGATTTCGCACAGTTCAAGGAAGCCTTAAAGAGTGTTATTCTGTACATAGAAGTATGGAAATCATGTAATAGGACTGAGGGTAGCCTCTGAGACCCTGTCCTCTCATGGGAGCCTGGTATATATGGTTAAAGCTGCAGAAAATGGGGTTGGAGGAGCATCAGGAACAACTGACATCTGGGATGGGTGGGGGTACCGGCCCTGGGCTGGCAGATGAGACTGAGGGTGGTAATGGAGGGGCTGTGCCTGAAGAAATATTCCTGTAACTGATGCATTAGCGCCTGCTGCTCCAATAAAGCTGGGGCATGGAAACGCTGGTGACAGAGTCCAGTCTCCCTGGGCCTTGATGGACTGGAAGGGGCAGGGGGCTGGGATTGGTGGCATCATAACCAGGGCCCAGCGGTCTCCCAAGAGGAGCGGCCCAGGAGGGCGAGTGGGAAACCCACCTCATGGCCCCAGTGCTACCCGCTCCAGTGCGAGTAGTCACATAGTAGGAACCCCATCAAGGTCTGTGCAGCTTGCTACTGCCCCGACGTCTCTCTGTGTCCTTCAGAACTCAAATCTGATCTTTGCCCAGACCCCCCTCCCCAGGTCCTCCCTCCTTTGGTCTCTACTACAGCTCCTGGGGAGCTTGAAGTTTAATTCAACCCACTGCCCCGAGGGCTCAGTGTGGCCACAAAGTGTCAGCCCTGGGGAGTGCCTCCGGGGACCAGGACCAGATGGGGGGCCCACAAGGACCAGGGCATCTCCAAACTCCTAGCTTCTTCCAGATCAGCAAAGAACTACCTGACTTCAAAGTGAAGCCCCTCGCCTGGCCTGCAGGGCCCCGCACACATGCTCCAGTGCCTCCGTGGCACCATTGGAGCCCTCCTTGACTACTAATGCCCTAACTCCCCAGGGCACAAGGCCCTGCCTGTAGTGAATCCACAGGCACTTGGGTCCTGAAGTGCCTCTGTGCTCTGATCCTCCACCCTCAGGTCCTACCCTAACCTAATCATTTGAATAGTTTATTGGAAGTGAGTGGGATTAACCCACAATCCAAACAGCTTCCTACAATTTAAACCTCTCAGACTGTGGGCTCCTTCACCAAACCAGGAAAGACGAAGATGGATTGTTCTGGAACATAATTAGGTATCAAGCTGTAACACAATGTGGCCCAGGCCAGACCTACAGAGTCTGCACTGTCTACCATGGACAGACCTTGCCAAGCTGTGACGCTTCAGATTATGCCTGCAACCAGCACAGAGGCCACCTCCGCTCTGCCCACCCCCTCCCTGGCCCTAGGAGTCCTGGGCCACTCCACCTCTTGGGGCCACATCAGGCTGGAGGTCAGCAAGTGTGACTGAGTGAAGTTGCCGTATTATCTCAGAACATGGAGGGTGGCCCTGTGACTCAGGTTTGGTGTCAGGGTTGGTATGGGGCTAGGAGTCAAGGGTGGTTTCAGCCCTGAGAAAGCCCACAGTCCAGTCCCCAGGGGCTGTGAGCTCCTGTCCCTTGGGCACACCACACAGATGCTCAGGCTTCGGAAGACCACTCCTCCCTGACAGGCAGCAGGGTCTGGGGGTGCATGCTGAGACACATTGGCAGGAAGACCCGCCACTTCAGTGACCCAGACTCCTCTTGGCCTGAAGCACCTAATGGTAGAGGGCTGGATGCTGGCATGTACATCCTTGTCATCTCATTGCTGTGTTTGGACAGCAGGGTGTGCACGAGCCTGGCCTGCCACTAGCTTGCTGTGTGACCCTGGACAGGTGCCTCAGTCTCTCAGCCAGAGTCCACAAAGGTGGGGTGGACTCTAGCCCCAGAGGCCAGACCACGGCCAATGTTCAAAGTCTTGGTCAAACTAGAGGTCTCAAGGCACCTGGTTCAACTTTAGGGAAACAAGTTGACAGAGAGCCTCTGGTACCTCTCCTGGGAAACAGGAAAGTTGGGAAGGTCCAGGTGGGAAGGTGGCTATACCACACAGAGAAACTACCTTCGTCTCCCTGATAACCTTTGCTATGTGCCCTGGTTTACCCTTCACCAGGCTCAGATCTGGACAGTGGTAG